CCATACCTGACGTAGGGAAGCTGTGCCTGGGGGTCCATCTCACCATACCTGACGTAGGGAAGCTGTGCCTGGGGGGTCCATCTCACCATACTTGACGTAGGAAAGCTGTGTCTGGGGATCCATCTCACCATACCTGACGTAGGGAAGCTGTGCCTGGGGATCCATCTCACCATACCTGACGTAGGGAAGCTGTGCCTGGGGGTCCATCTCACCATGCCTGATGTAGGGAAGCTGTGCCTAGGGATCCATCTCACCATACCTGACGTAGGGAAGCTGTGCCTGGGGATCCATCTCACCATACCTGACGTAGGGAAGCGGTGCCTGGGGGTCCACCTCACCATACCTGACATAGGGAAGCGGTGCCTGGGGATCCATCTCACCATACCTGACGTAGGGAAGCTGTGTCTGGGGATCCATCTCACCATACCTGACGTAGGGAAGCTGTGCCTGGGGGTCCACCTCACCATACCTGACGTTGGGAAGCTGTCCCTGGGGGGTCCATCTCACCATACCTGACGTAGGGAAGCTGTGCCTGGGGATCCACCTCATCATACCTGACGTAGGGAAGCTGTGCCTGGGGGTCCACCTCACCATACCTGACGTAGGGAAGCGGTGCCTGGGGATCCATCTCACCATACCTGACGTAGGGAAGCTGTGCCTGGGGGTTCACCTCACCATACCTGACGTAGGGAAGCTGTGCCTGGGGGTCCATCTCACCATACTTGACGTAGGGAAGCTGTGCCTGGGGATCCATCTCACCATACCTGACGTAGGGAAGCTGTGCCTGGGGGTCCATCTCACCATACCTGACGTAGGGAAGCTGTGCCTGGGGGTCCATCTCACCATACTTGACGTAGGAAAGCTGTGCCTGGGGATCCATCTCACCATACCTGACGTAGGGAAGCTGTGCCTGGGGATCCATCTCACCATACCTGACGTAGGGAAGCTGTGCCTGGGGATCCATCTCACCATACCTGACGTAGGGAAGCTGTGCCTGGGGGTCCATCTCACCATGCCTGATGTAGGGAAGCTGTGCCTAGGGATCCATCTCACCATACCTGACGTAGGGAAGCTGTGCCTGGGGATCCATCTCACCATACCTGACGTAGGGAAGCTGTGCCTGGGGATCCATCTCACCATACCTGACGTAGGGAAGCTGTGCCTGGGGGTCCATCTCACCATACCTGATGTAGGGAAGCTGTGCCTGGGGGTCCACCTCACCATACCTGACGTAGGGAAGCTGTGCATGGGGGTCCATCTCACCATACCTGACGTAGGGAAGCTGTGCCTGGGGATCCATCTCACCATACCTGACGTAGGGAAGCTGTGCCTGGGGATCCATCTCACCATACCTGACGTAGGGAAGCTGTGCCTGGGGATCCATCTCACCATACCTGACGTAGGGAAGCTGTGCCTGGGGATCCATCTCACCATACCTGACGTAGGGAAGCTGTGCCTGGGGGTCCATCTCACCATGCCTGATGTAGGGAAGCTGTGCCTAGGGATCCATCTCACCATACCTGACGTAGGGAAGCTGTGCCTGGGGATCCATCTCACCATACCTGACGTAGGGAAGCTGTGCCTGGGGATCCATCTCACCATACCTGACGTAGGGAAGCTGTGCCTGGGGGTCCATCTCACCATACCTGATGTAGGGAAGCTGTGCCTGGGGGTCCACCTCACCATACCTGACGTAGGGAAGCTGTGCATGGGGGTCCATCTCACCATACCTGACGTAGGGAAGCTGTGCCTGGGGATCCATCTCACCATACCTGACGTAGGGAAGCTGTGCCTGGGGATCCATCTCACCATACCTGACGTAGGGAAGCTGTGCCTGGGGGTCCATCTCACCATACCTGATGTAGGGAAGCTGTGCCTGGGGGTCCTCCCCACCATACCTGACGTAGGGAAGCTGTGCATGGGGGTCCATCTCACCATACCTGACGAAGGGAAGCTGTGCCTGGGGATCCATCTCACCATACCTGACGTAGGGAAGCTGTGCCTGGGGGTCCACCTCGGCTACTCACCTCAAACAATTATAACTCAACAAAAGGCAGTTCTCAGAACAATTACAAACTCCAACAAGAGACACACTTTGCACTTATTCATATCCGTAAACTTACTAAATATAAATGCAATTCATACATACTTCAATTTACATAATCACATTAGTAGTACTGAAAGCGGCTGAGCGCCGTATGCAGCTGAGCGCCGTATTCCTGAGTACCGTATTCCTGAGTGCCGTATTCCTGAGTGCCGTATTCCTGAGTGCTGTATTCCTGAGCGCTGTATTCCTGAGCGGTCTCCTTTTCACACCTTTATGCTAATGACCTTGACCTCGCCCTGTAGACCACCTCACCCTCGACCACCTCACCCTCGACCACCTCGCCCTCGACCACCTCGCCCTCGACCACCTCGCCCTCGACCACCTCGCCCTCAACCCCCACCCACGCCCCCCCCACCCGCGCCCCCCACCCGCCCCGCCCTCGCGAAGACCCACCCGCCCTGGCTCCTATGTCGTGATGGGTCAAGATATGTTTTCAGTTGATGGTGATCATGTACTAAATGTTTGTGTATTAGGTTTGTGTTCAAGTTTTTCTTTTTTTTTTTTTCGCCCATGGGGAGGGAGTTCTTGGTTATAGTGATTTGAGGGAACTTCTATAAAATGGGTGTTAGCTGGTGATGCTAACCTTAGTTTCTGGTGATTTTGACTGTGTTTTGGTAGTATTCAGTGGTGATTTGGAAGTAATCAGTAGTGTTTTGGGAGTATTCGGAGGTGTTTGATGGTGTTTTTGAAGGTGTTCAAATGATGTGCAGAGTATTTTTTGAAGATGTTCAGTGGTGTTTTGGTGATGTTCAGAGTTGGTTCAAAGTTAGTCAGTGTGTTAGTTGTGGTAATGTCTCATGTCATATGTGTATGAGTTAGTTTTTTTTTTTGTGTGTGTTAATGTTGTAAAGTCTGGAGAATGAGGGAGGAGTTTGGTGGATGAGATATAATTTCGGTTAATGAAATGTGTAAGTGTGAATGTAAATTGGTGAGTGAGTTAGAGAAGACAAAATGTTATGTGATCTTAGTAAAAGTAAAGATAGTTTTAGTGAACTTCATTATGATGATGTTTTAAGAGAATGTGTACAAAAAATGTGTGATCTTAGTGGTGGGGTTATAGAATTTGGTAAACGTCTTGATTGTGGTGATCTTAGATATTGGAGATATAACAGGTTGAAACAAGTAGCTTCCTCTCAATAAGTTAAATGAAGTAAAAGTGGGGTGCGACGTCAAGTAAACACAGGATGGAGTGTGATGTCATGGGAGGTATCCCTATCTGTGCTGGTAT